CATCACATCAACAGGAGCAAGGTAAGAACCACATGGTTATCTCAATAGATGCAGAAAAAGCATTTGACAAGATCCAACACCTCTTTATGATGAAGGTTTTGGGAAAATTAGGAATCCATGGAACATTCCTCAATACAACAAAGGCTGTATATGACAAGACTACAGCCAGCATTATACTTAATGGTGAAAAACTAAAGCCATTTCCTCTTAACTCAGGAACAAGACAAGGATGTCCACTCTCTCCACTTCTCTTCAATCTTTTATTTTACATTTTTTTAAAATTGTGAAAATACCATACAGAGGGTTTACAATTACATTGGCAAGGCAATGATTTCATTTCTTATCAAGCATTGTTGCCTCCTCCTTTGTTTCCCCTTCCCATCCCTTCCCATCTTCCCCCCCCCCCCCTCATCACCCCCTCCCGACTCTGGCCAAAGTTGTAAAGTTCATTTTTCGACATCTCATTGTTGCAATGGGTCCACCTGTATCCCTATTTAAATGATTTGTTTTTCCCGTTCCCCTCCACAAATTATACCAACATCAAATACAATGAAAGCAGGGGTTATACTGTGGGGGAGGGACATACAAAGCAACAAAGAAATCATCTTATAAACGTTAGAAAAAAATCGCAAGAAAGAAAAAAAATTGAATATTTATTTTGGGGTTCATTGATTAGTCCACTCCTAAATAGATTTAAGAGGATCAATGTTCCTGAAAAATTAGGAGAACTGCACATTGTCCCATATGCTCTTATAGTCAGTTAAATTATAATTTGATGGAATTTCTTTATAGGTTACTTTTTGGTTTCATTTGTTAGAAAGTTGAAATGCCTACTAATAATTATACCATAGATTTGGCTAACATAGCAGAGCTTCTCACCTGTTAAATTATAGATGTTTCATGATAGAGTACATTACATGGGCTTCTGTTTGGTTAATCTCTATGTTTCTATCCTGCTTCTTCAACTGAAGAGTGATAATTTAATGGGATGTAGAATATCTCCTACAGCATTTGACATGATAAGAAACACATACTAGATGCACAAGAAACTGCTATTAGAACTCATTTTACAAAGTACTTGTAACAGTAGATTTTGTCCCTACTTGCTGAGTAATAAAGAAAAATACCTATAAATTCTAGAACTTTCTAGAACTTTCTGCTGCTTTGTACTTCCTTTAGGTATGTCTAAATAAGCACCCAAAAATTGTTCTTCAAGCTGGGCACCAGTGGCTTACACTTATAATCCTAACTATTCAGGAGGGTGAGATCTGAGGATCAAGATTTGAAGTCAGCCCCAGTAAAAAGTCTGTGAGGTTCTTATTTCCAATTAACAACCAGAAAGCCAGAGGTGGAGCTGTGGCTGAAGACACAGAGCAAACAGCCTTGAGCAAAACAGCTCAGGGATATTGCCCAGGCCATCAGTTCAAGCCCTAAGAGCAGCACAAAAAAGTATCTTTAAATACAAAATTTAAAGGCATAAAATTACAGAAACTAATTAATCTCCAGTGAAATGGGCACCAAAGTCTACAAAAACTCAAAGAAAGATGTTTGATTTCACAAAAGAGGTTAATATGTGCAGGAAAATTCCTGGGTTAGTACGAGGGTGAATGAATTATTCACATAATAGCTGAACAATCTGATCAGTGTGATAAGCACAAATTAATATCTCAATTCTGTGCCTGATAAGTAAAACTACAACTACAATATTATCAACATTTAAAGGACAAAAATGGTAGACTCTGGCCCATTAAGATTTTAATTCCTACTTGTACCCTGAAATCAGAGATTGTTAAGAGACAGAAATAAAGAGAAAGAAAGCGAGAGAGAGAGAGGGATTCTTCAAGAATATCTGTATTTTGAAGAAAAATTGTATGCAAAGAAAAAAATTGTATGCAAAGGTTTTAGAACATCCCATTTTCTGTATTATGTGTATGGCTACTCATAGCCTGACAATAAATAAATTGCTAAAAGCTAAAACTCAGTTAATAGACTCCATCCTTGGTTCATGAGCGTTGTGGTTCTCAAATACGTCATTGATAAGAAAACAATGAATGTTCACTCTTCCACATACCACACAACCTGAGGCAAAATGAGTCTTATGGAACTCTG